CAAACCAGACATCAAGGGCCCCAAAGTTGATGTTGACGTCAGCATGCCTAAAGTCGACATTTCTCTTCCTGAAGCTGAGCTCCACGTTGCCAAACCCGAGATGAAGGCTGGCGAACTCAAGGGCGACATCAGTATCTCAGCCCCAGACGTTAAGATTCCAACAGGCCAGGCCACCCTGGAACTGAAAGCCCCCGATGTAGACATAGTGGCTCCTTCTGGCAAGGTGGCTGTGGAGGTGCCTGATGTTAAGCTGGGAAGCGGGGATAGTAAATTCAAAATGCCCAAGTTCAAAATGCCCAAGTTAGGAATTTCACTGCCCAAAGGGAAAGCTGTTCCAGAGGGAGAAGTCACCATACCTTCCATGGAAGGAGACCTCCCCAAAACAGAACTGAAAACAGAAGTCTCACTTCCGTCTGCAGAAATTGAAGGTGATATTAAGCTGCCTGAAGTGGAAGTCGAGGCACCCAGCTTAGACATGGAGATTGTGGAGAAGGGCAAAATCAAAATGCCTGGAGTGAAGACGCCTAGCGTCAAGGTCCCCAAGCTCAAAACGCCAGAAGTAGGTATCTCCCTGCCAAAGGTTGAGGCAGACATATTTCTCCCAAAAGAAGAAGCTGAAGTCCCTGAAGGAAAGGTGGCTGTGAAAGTGCCAGAGGCTGAAGGCACAATTGAAGGTCGTGGGATGAAGATACACATGCCAAAGTTCAAGATGCCTAGCATGGGATTCTCCAAACCAGACATAAAGGGCCCCAAAGTCGACATGGATGTCAGCATGCCTAAAGTGGATATTTCTCTTCCCGAAGCTGAGCTTCACGTTGCCAAACCCGAGATGAAGGCTGGCGAACTCAAGGCCGACATCAGTATCTCAGCCCCCGACGTTAAGATTCCAACAGGCCAGGCCACCCTGGAACTGAAAGCCCCCGACGTAGATATAGAGGCTCCTTCTGGCAAGGTAGCTGTGGAGTTGCCTGATGTTAAGCCCGAAAGAGGGGATAGTAAGTTTAAAATGCCCAAGTTCCAAATGCCCAAGTTTGGAATTACAATGCCCAAGGGGAAAGGTGTCCCAGAGGGAGAAGTCACCATACCTTCCGTGCAAGCAGATCTCCCCAAAACAGGATTGAAATCAGAAATCACGCTGCCTTCTGCGGAGCTTGAAGCTGACATTAAGCTGCCAGAGGTGGAGGTCGAGGTCCCCAGCCTAGATGTGGAGGTTGGAGAGAAGGGCAAAATCAAGATGCCTGGAGTGAAGATGCCTAGCGTCAAGGCCCCCAAACTCAAAACGCCAGAAGTAGATATCTCCGTTCCAAAGGTCGAGGCAGACATCTCTCTCCCGAAAGGAGATGCTGCAGTCCCTGAAGGAAAGGTGGCTGTGAAACTGCCAGACACTGAAGGTCGTGGGATGAAGATACACATGCCAAAGTTCAAGATGCCTAGCATGGGGTTCTCCAAACCAGACATCAAGGGCCCCAAACTTGATGTTGATGTCAGCATGGCTAAAGTGGACATTTCTCTTCCTGAAGCTGAGCTGCACATTGCCAAACCCAAGATAAAGGCTGGCGAACTCAAGGGCGACATCAGTATCTCAGCCCCTGATGTAAAGATTCCAACAGGCCAGGCCACCCTGGAACTGGAAATTCCTGACCTAGACCTGGAATCTTCTTCCGGCAAGGTGGCTGTGGAAGGGCCTGATGTTAAGGTGGAGAGTGGGGATATTAAGTTCAAAATGCCCAAGTTTCAAATGCCCAAGTTTGGAATTTCACTGCCCAAGGGGAAGGGTGTCCCGGAGGGAGAAGTCATCATACCTTCTGTGGAAGCAGATCTCCCCAAAACAGGAGTGAAATCAGAAATCACGCTGCCTTCTGCAGAGCTTGAAGCTGATATTAAGCTGCCAGAGGTGGAGGTTGAGGTCCCCAGCCTAGACCTGGAGGTTGGGGAGAAGGGGAGACTCAAGATGCCTGGAGTGAAGATGCCTAGCGTCAAGGTCCCCAAGCTCAAAACGCCAGAAGTAGGTATCTCCCTGGCAAAGGTCGAGACGGACGTCTCCCTCCCCAAGGGAAAAGCCGAAGTTCCTGAAGGAGAGGTGGCTGTGAAAGTGCCGGAAGCTGAAGGCACCATCGAGGGGGGGGGGATGAAGATACACATGCCAAAGTTCAAGATGCCCAGCATGGGGTTCTCCAAACCAGACACCAAGGGCCCCAAAGTTGATGTTGACGTCAGCATGCCTAAAGTGGACATTTCTATTCCCGAAGCTGAGCTCCACGTTGCCAAACCCGAGATAAAGTCTGGCGAACTCGAGGGCAATATCAGAATTTCAGCCCCCGACATTAAGATTCCAACAGGCCAGGCTACCATGGAACTGAAAGCCCCTGATGTACAGATAGAGGCTCCTTCTGGCAAGGTGGCTGTGGAGGGGCCCGATGTTAAGCTGGAAAGCGGGGATAGTAAGTTCAAAATGCCCAAGTTCAAAATGCCCAGGTTAGGAATTTCATTGCCCAAAGGGAAAGCTGTTCCAGAGGAAGAAGTCACCATACCTTCCATGGAAGGAGACCTCCCCAAAACAGAACTGAAAGCAGAAGTCTCACTTCCGTCTGCAGAACTTGAAGGTGATATTAAGCTGCCGGAACTGGAAGTGGAGGCCCTCAGCCTAGACATGGACATTACGGATAAGGGCAAACTCAAAATGCCTGGAGTGAAGATGCCTAGTGTCAAGGTTGCCAAGCTCAAAACGCCAGAAGTAGGGATCTCCCTGCCAAAGGTCGAGGCGGACGTCTGCCTCCCCACGGGAAAAGCCAAAGTGCCTGAAGGTGAGGTGGCTGTCAACCTGCCAGAGGCTGAAGGCACCATCGAGGGTGGTGGGATAAAAATACACATGCCAAAGTTCAAGATGCCCAGCATGGGGTTCTCCAAACCAGACATCAAGGGCCCCAAAGTTGACGTTGATGTCAGCATGCCTAAAGTGGACCTTTCTCTTCCTGAAGCTGAGCTCCATGTTGCCAAACCTGAGATGAAGGCTGGCGAACCCGTGGATGAAATCAGTATCTCAGCCCCTGATGTAAAGATTCCAATGGGCCAGGCCACCCTGGAACTGAAAGCCCCTGACGTAGACATAAAGGCTCCTTCTGGCAAAGTGACTGTACAGGGGCCTGACGTCAAGCTGGAAAGCGGGGATAGTAAATTTAAAATGCCCAAGTTCAAAATGCCCAAGTTAGGAATTTCATTGCCCAAGGGGAAAGCTGTTCCAGAGGGAGAAGTCACCATACCTTTCTTGGAAGCAGACCTCCCCAAAACAGTAATGAAAGTGGAAGTTGCACTGCCCTCTACAGGTCCTGAAGCTGACATTAAGCTGCCAGAAGTAGAAGTGCAGGGCCCCAGCCTGGACGTGGAGGTTGGGGAGAAGGGCAAACTCAAAATGCCTGGAGTGAAGATGCCTAGCCTCAAGGCCCCCAAGCTCAAAGCACCAGAAGTGGGTATCTCCCTGCCAAAAGTCGAGGCAGACCTCTCCCTCCCCAAAGGAAAAGCTGAGGTGCCCGAAGTCGAGGCAGCTGTCAAAATGCCGGAGTCTGAAGGCACCATTGAGGGTGGAGGGATGAAGATACACATGCCAAAGTTCAAGATGCCCAGCATGGGTTTCTCTAAACCAGAGATCAAGGGCCCCAAAGTCGACATGGACCTCAGTGTGCCTAAAGTGGACCTTTCTCTTCCTGAAGCCAAGATCCATGTTGCCAAACCTGATATGAAGGCAGGCGAAGTCATGGACGACATCAGTATCTCAGCCACTGAAATTGGGGACACCCTGGAACTGAAAACTCCCGACCTACACCTGGAATGTTCTTCCAGCAAGGTCACTGTGCAGGGGCCCGACGTTAAGCTGGAAAGCGGGGATAGTAAGTTCCAAATGCCCAAGTTGGGAATTTCACTGCCCAAGGGAAAAGGTGTCCCAGAGGGAGAAGTTACCATACCCTCTGTGGAAGCGGATTTCCCCAAAACAGGTCTGAAAGCTGAAGTCACACTGCCTTCTGCAAAGCTTGAAGCTGACATTAAGCTGCCAGAACTGGAAGCGGAGCCCCCCTGCCTGGACATGGAGATTGGAGAGAAGGGCAAAATCAAAATGCCTGGAATGAAGTTGCCTAGTATGAAGGCCCCCAAGCTTACATCACCAGAAGTAGGGATCACCTTGCCAAAGTCTGAAGCGGATGTCTCCCTCTCCAAAGCAAAAGCTGAAATGCATGATAGTGAGGCGGCCATCAAAGTGGCAGGAGCAGAAGACAGTCATGAGAAGGGTAGGATGAAAATACACATGCCAAGGTTCAAAATGCCCAGCATGGGATTCTCTAAACAGGATATCAAGGGACCTAAAATCGATGTGGATGTCAGCATGCCTGATGTACACGTCTCTCTTCCGAAAGCTGAGCTCAGCGCTACAGAACCCAGGCTTAAGACAGACGAACTTGAGGGTGACCTCAGAATAGCAGCACCTGATGTAAAGATTCCAAGGGTCCCAGTCACTGTGGAGCTAAAAGCTCCCAACATAGGAGTACAGGCTTGTTCAGGTAAGGTTGTTGTGGAGGGGAGTGTTATTAAGCTTGATGGGTATAGTAAATTCAAAATGCCAAGGTTTCAAACGCCCAAGCTGGGAATTTCACTTAACAAGTAGAAAAGCATTACACACAGAGAAGTCACCTTATCTGCCTTAGAAGCAGACCGCCCCAAAGCACGACTAGAAGCTGAAATCCCAGTGCCTTCTACTAATCTTGAAGCTGAAATAAAGCTGCCAGAAGTGGAAATTGAGGGCCCCATCCTGAATGTGGAGATCAGAGAGGAGAGTGAAAGCAAAATGTCTGGAATCAAGGTGCCTAGCATCAAGGTCCCCAAGCTGAAGGCTCCAGAAATAGGGATCTCCTTGTCAAAGGTTGAGGCAAATCCCTCCCTTCCCAAAGGAAAAACAGAGCCTCCAAAATCAAGGCCAACATAGAGTGTTCCCTTTAATTATGAAAGCATGATTAAGGGAAGCAAGATGAAAATACATGTCCCAAAGTTCAAGATGCCCAGCTTGGGATTCTCCAAACCAGACAGTAAAGGGCTCAAAGTCAACATGGACACCAGATGCCTACAGTGAACGTCTCTCTTTCTGAAGCTCAGTTCAGCATTATCAAACCTTAGCTGAAGTTGTTAGAACTCAGGGCTGACATCAGAGTTTCAGCATCTAATGTAGAGATTCTAACAGACCAGGTGATTGTGGAACTGAAAACTGCTGACCTAGAAGTAGACCCTCTGTTTGGCAAGGTTTCTATGCAAGGGGCCAAGGTTAAGCTGGAAAGTGGGGATAGTAAGTTCAAAAGGCCAAAGTTCAAAAGGCCAAAATTGGAAATTTCTCTTTCTAATGGGAATGTTGCAATAAAGGAAAAAGTCTCCTTGCCTTCAGTAGAAGCAGATGTGCCAAAGCCAGGTCTGAAAGCTGACCTTGCAAGCTTGGCTGTTGCTTGTAATGCTGATTTCATGAGTTATTCATGTTATGTTGTACGTACAGTAAATCTTCAAGTTGGAGGGTATCTGTACCATCATTCAAAAAATCTAAAATTCCTAAATATGATATTTAATCACCCAAAGTAGCTGCTGACTTCCCAGTTTTGGATAATTCTATTCTGAACATAGGTACAGATGTTCTTTATTCTGAAGATGATGAATTGGATTCTAACACTGAAAATCGTTCTAGATCATCAGGGAAATCTTTGAAAAAGGAAGATAGTAAGCATATTATTTCTTCTTTTGGGTAATCTTCCTCCTACAAAACTAACATTGTATCTGAAGGAAACATTGTAAGACCAGAATTGTGAGTTGTTCCTGCTGCACTAGATGTACTGTAGATGTAGTTTTATCTGTAAGTGTCAAGGAACTTAATTATCAAAATTAACTTAGTTGGGAAAGGTCTGATACAAGAGTTCCTGAAGTCACCATGGATATTTTTGAATCTCACAGTCATGTTGGTGGGATAAATATCAGTTTGCCTAGGTTTCATGTACCAAATTTTGGTTTTTCAAAGATTGAAATAGCTCCTTCTAAAGCTAACAGGAGTGAAAACTTGCCCACTAGCAATATTATTCTAAGTACCTGGTGGCTTCTCAGGAATCTGAATTTGAAATTGTCACTGATGTCACTGATGTCATATCTAGTCTGGCTGAGACAGACTAGATATGACTTAACCACTATTGACTATTCAAATTTAAGAACTAAATATATAACAGCTGATTCCGATTTTAGTGCAGCTGAGAGAAAAGCTGATTTTTCAAAGGGAAAGATTAAAATGTCTGCAAGATTGAGATTGATATTTCTAATGTAAATTCTGATACGCAAATTTTAGATGTCAGATAATCTGAAACCTCTGAAGTAGTCCCAGGTGCTTCAGATCTAAAAATACAGATTTCATCGATGAAAGATTCCCACACACTGAACTCCAGTATTAAAAGTTCAGAGATTGTCTTTCCATCTGCAGATATTTTCTATTGCAGAATCAGATGCTAAGATTTAAGCAGCAAAGATATAAAAAGTGAAATTAATGAAAAAGACATTAAGAAAAAGAAAATAAATTTAAGATGCAAAAATTCAAATTTCACTTAATTGGTCTCTAGAGTTTCCATTGATATTAATACAAGCAAAGAAGATCCCTCATTTACAGTTTCAACAAAGGAAAAATAATTTGAATTAAAACTGATTGTGGAGGAAACTGAAGGCCATACTGCAGACCTAGAGGGCCACATGCATATTGATAAAGATAGTGAGAAAAGGACTATTAGAAGGCCAAAAATATCTCTTCCAAAAGTGAAAGTCATAAAGTTGAAATACCTGTGCTGTCACTGAACATGACAGTGTCTGTTTTCTTCAGAAGAAAAAGATATTTCACAAGAAAAATCAGACAAGGAAATCATTGACAACGATAT